TATATCCATACAAGCTTCTGTTGACAGATTTTCTGTTGGGGACGGACAAAGCAGTGCAGAGATTAAGTCCAGCAAGTTTGTGTTATTTGTCTAAGCAGGTTCTGTGTGTTTGTAGGTCTGACAGTGATAACAGAGGTGGGTGGAGGCCGGCGGTGTGTAAACGCTGCTTTCAGACACGTGACCAGAGCTAAACAAGTCTTTGTTACGTGATCATCCATGTCCTGTTCAGACCAACAGTCGGGTTTGAACCAGGGAACAGTTCCAGACCCTGAAACATCTCATCCTGTAATCAGTCAACCTCAACAATGGCCCCAGTTATATATTAGGTGTTTGCTTTGTGACACAGCGACTCTGATGATTAAATAACTTAAAGTTTATCTTAATACAGTACTGACACGCCCATATGTACACTGAAGGCGTTATTTGAAGCTGCTGTCGTTCCTCTTGTCCACAGCGACTCTAAATATTTGTCTTTCTAAAATGAGTTAAATGTCAGTGATGGGAAACCAAATCAAAATACCCTTGTGACTACCCCCTGGTGGCTGTGGCTCAGAAGGTAGAGCGGGTTGTCCAACTATCGGACTTATCAAGAAGAGAGTCTGAAAAAGAGTCTGACAATAAATGAAATATAAACATGTCACCAGCATTAAGGCCCATTTATGCTCAGCATTAAATACGGATCCGGATACGGACGGAGACTTCTGTCCGTGCTCTGCATTCATTTCGTCCGTATTTCTGCACATTTCCATAAAGCTTATGGATACAGGCCAAACGGAGCAGTACCACCGGGAACCGGCTCCAGTTCGGCTAAACTATCGGCTAAGCAACATTTTCTCTCCATCTCTGAAACACTTCGCTGATATTGACGTGTGTTTTATTTAGTTTATTTTCAGACTTTCTTTCAGACTCTTTTTTAAAAGTCTGTCTTCCTTTTTGGGTTGCTTTGCAGTGTAGGCAGTTGTTGTCAATGCTGGAACAGAAACTTTCTCCACAATGTGCACGCACTTCTACATTTGTAGAGGAAACGTCCTCTGGCTGAAACAACCTGTGATTGTCCAAAGTCTTTCATCACGAACTAGATTTTCTGAAACCAGAGCCAAGAGGAGGTGCTGAAGTCTAGAAGTCTTTAGCACAAAACAAAGTCTTTTGTCCCTGAACACCTACGTCGATATCACTTTCAGATCTATTCAAGACCTGTTTGGACAGAAGGAGCATTCACAGCCACAGATAATCCCTGTGATACAGATAAACATTACTCTTAAGACCTGAAACCTGTTCTGTGATGAAGAGTGTTCATATTTTATTATGTATGGTCTTTATGTGAGATGTGGTAGACCACCTCAAAGGCAGAAAAACATCCCTCCAAGAAACCTGAGTACTTAAAAACGGTCCGGTCCATCCAGACCAGAGCAAGAATATGGAAGCCCCAAAGGGACATACAGTAGGTAATAAATATGTAAATGAATTAATGTGCATTAAAAACTGAAAAACAAATACATCAATTTAAATTTTGCCAAAAAAGAATAAATATACAGACAATGAATGAAAAATATTTTCATCATCTTTTTCTGTATTTACTGACTTTCACATTTATTAATGTTCAGATGTTCAGAGGGCCGAGTGGACCCCTGCAGACATGAGCAGCACGCTGACTACAATCCCATCACTTTAACTCCTATAACTCAAAATTTAATCTCACTGTGAATTTTTATTTGTCATAACATTTTATCCATTTTTTGCATAAATGAGCTCCAGTGCGTTAAAAAAAACAGGGGTACATTTTTCTTTCTTTTTCTTTGTATAAAAAGTTTTGTCAGTGTCTTATTTCATCCCATTCCACTCCATCCCATCCCATCCCTTTCCATTTTATCCCATTCTATCCCATCCCATTCTATCCCATCCCATTACATCCCTTTCCATTTTTCCCATCCCATCCTATCCCATCCCATCCCGTCCTATCCCATTACATCCATTTCCATTTTATCCCATCCTATCCCATCCCATTCCACTCCATCCCATTCTATCCTATCCTATCCCATTACATCCCATCCTATCCTATCCCATTACATCCCTTTCCATTTTTCCCATCCCGTCCTATCCCATTACATCCCATCCTATCCTATCCCATTACATCCCTTTCCATTTTTCCCATCCCATCCTATCCCATTACATCCCATCCTATCCCATCCCATTCCACTCCATCCCATTCTATCCCATTACATCCATTTCCATTTTTCCCATCCCATCCTATCCCATCCCATTACATCCCTTTCCATTTTTCCCATCCCATCCTATCCCATCCCATCCCGTCCTATCCCATTACATCCATTTCCATTTTATCCCATCCTATCCCATCCCATTCCACTCCATCCCATTCTATCCTATCCTATCCCATTACATCCCTTTCCATTTTATCCCATCCCGTCCTATCCCATTACATCCCATCCCGTCCTATCCCATTACATCCCATCCGATTCCATCTTCCCATCCATGTTTTCGGGTTGTGCGTAACGACGCATGGGAGCGTGACGCACGGCGTACGCGGCGTACCGCGTCATATCTTCCAACACATCCGCCGCTTCCTGGCCGGCCCAGGCAGGCGCCTCAGGCCCCGTTCCAACTCTGAACCGCTATCCGCTCATCATCATCAGTCACCGGTGAAGACACACCGAGTCCTCCGCCCCCGGTCCGTGAGGAGCTGCCGCCGCCGGTATGAGTGGATGAAGCGGCTGAGATCAGCAGAGAGGTCCCGGGACTCGGTGCTCGGTGAGTGTTTGTTCAGGAGGGAACCGTTGGTTTGTTTTGTCTCCACAATGAATCACAGTCAGCTGTTTGTCCCGGTGTCTCAGGACAACATTTAAACTGTTGACTGTTGTTTCTTCCGGTGTTTAAATACATGTTAGATCAGTCCCGTTAATCCGGGGATCACATGGAGGTTTAGAGGATCTGACTTTGTGTTGGGATCTTTGTTCCTGTGGAGTTCAGACATCATGGACTGTTTCCTGTTTGTTCATCTCCATAGACACGTTCTCTCACATGTTCCTGACCTGCTGCCATTCACTTGACCTCATTACAGCAGCGGTGACTGACAGCAGATCAGTTTCTCCTCTGTCACACACCAGAGACAATGAGCAGCAACTAAACACATTTACTAAGTGCTGTGCTTAAAGGAACAGTGTGGAGGCTTTAGTGGCAAGTAGAGGTGAGGATTGTAGACTGCAACCAGCTGAAACTTCTCCCACTTCACCTTCACTGCTAACTGTTCAGGATGTTTCTTTAGCAGGAGCCGAATTATCCACAGAGGTCTCTTCCTGTCACAAACAAACAGACCAGCTGATTTAAACCAGTAAAAACACAGAATAAAACAGTTTGACGTTGCAAATCGGTGTTTCTCCAGTGGTGTCTGGCATGTCATTAATCTGGTGAAGCATGTTTTCCTGTTTCCAACATTTTCTCACAAGTGCGATTCAAAACACGAGCGAGTGTTAGTACACGACTGGCTTCCTCAAACAAGACAAATTCAGATCAGCTGTGTTTTGACATTATCATGAAAAGAGGCGTTCATGAGGACAGCTATGTGTTCTCTTCCTGGTTTTTGTCACCACGACAACCACAGACACATTCAGCTGAAAGTCGCCAGTCAACATGGTTGCAAGCATGCTTTTTTTTTGATAACTTGAGATCCAGTGTCCAGTTGCACAAAAAAAACAACCTTAAGTTAAGATTATCCTTAAAGTCAAAGGTAATGTTTCCTTAAAATTGATTGCACGAAACACCCTTAAGTCTTCTTCTTAAGGTTTCCATAAAATGCTCACTTAAGTTTTTTTTTTCTCTTTTCTTGGTCTTATTTTAGGAATCACTTAAGTAAGATTACATTGCAGCCTGTTCTGCAGCTGCATCTCTCTCAATCAATACTGGACCAAATGTAAAAAACAGTTGTCCCAGTTAGTCACTGAGACACAAAGCATGGAAAAATAGTAGAGCCCAAACCTGGTTCTTTCGAGATCATCACATAAAATACTGAGCTTGAGCCCAACCAAGCCCAACATCCCCAAAAAGCTCTAGTCAGCTTCTAAGGCCCTGGACACACTGGCTGTGTGGTGGCACAAGCCACGAGCGTCTGCAGTGGAAAATAGACCCGCTCGGTGGATCACTGACTCTCCACACTGTTTTTCCGCGCCAGAGAAACTTCCTGTTGCCTCCGGATGGAAGAACAGAGAGCCGGACTGCTCCCTCTCCATCTCTCTCTGCCTGCAGGAAGTGCTCACTTCTTAATATTATTTATTTATTAAAAAAAAAAAAAAAAAACAAACCTGATCCAAACCGTCTGGCTTTTCGGGACCCGTTGGGCTCGGGTTGAGAACTGTAATAAATGAGGTCCAGAATGAAAACTACTGAAGTTTCCCTTTCAGTGTTATACTTAAGAAGAAAAGTTAAAGTGTTTTGTGCAACTGGCTGCTGACGTTCAGGAGGTTTTTACTGGTAGCCGAATTACCCACAGAGGTCTCTTCCTCTCCAAAACAAACAGACCAGCTGATTTAAACCAGTAAAAACACTAAATAAAAATGTTTCATGTTATAAATTACTGTTTTTCTGGGGCTGTTTGGTGTCCTGGAGACGGGCCGCTCACCCTTCCACCTGCTCAACATTTCTCTCTGATGAGATGGGTACAAATTGGAGGTATTTGTAATTTACTTGAGTATTTCCAGGAAAGGCTGAACTATTAGCAACATTTTCTTTGCATCTCTGAAACACTTTGCTGATATTAACATGTTTTATTTCATTTATTGTCAGACTGTCTGTTTGACCAGTCCGTCTAACTTTTTCGGGTTGCTTTGCAGTGTAGTCAGTTGTTGACAATGCTCGAATAGCAACTTCCTCTACAGGATTCTCCTCCATTGAATCAGCCTTTCACTATCTAAATGGAATCAACTCTTTAAAAACCCTTTTTGATCAGCTGGAAAATGCATCGTCACAAAGCTGAAAACAAGCTGTTTTTCTGACTTTTCAGTGATACGTGGTTCTCACAGGACAGACACGCTACAAACATATGATGATCTTATAGAATATGATGCCACGCTTTAGATTAAACTACCCAGCAGTATAAAGAGGAGTTCAAATGAGCTCAACCTTAAAATATAGAGCTGTAAATTGACACATTAATGCAGCACGAATATTCATCCAAAACATGAGATAGAAAAGGGAAACACATTTTACTGCTACATACACACTTTTACTCAAAGTACTTTAAGTACATTTGGCTGATACATGCTTTTAATTCAGTAAAGTTTTGAATGCAGGACTTGAACCTGTAGTAAAGTCTTTTCACAGAGTGGTTTTAGTTCTTTTATGGCAGTAAAGGATCTGCCATTCCTCCACTGGCAGCGAGTGACATCATTCATTTCTCTCTAACACACCACCAACAACAATAATCAGTGTCCATGAATGTGTGTGTTCTGTCCACAGCGTTGGAGCTGGAGGCGTCGGTTGAGGCGGAGCGGCCGTGGTGATGGTGTTGGACTCAGGTGAAGTCTTCATGGATCAGGTTGAGGGTGAAAGTGTCGGGAGCAGCAGGAGCTTGTTGGAGCCAGATGTTCGGGCAGATCGTCCCAAAGTGCCCAGATCGCCGTCCAAAAGGAGCAATGTTGCCAAGAAGGAGAAGGTGTCCCACAACGGACTCCCGGCCCAGACAAACAGCGGCCAGGTAGCACAGAGGAGGACGTCATCATCATCATCATTGTTAAAAAGTGGAGCTGCGCCCAGACCGCCCCTACGTCGCCCCCTCAGCCTGGAGATGACGCCTCAGCGCCTGCGAGGGTCTCAGGAGCACATGGCCGACAGGCGGATCGTGCAGCCTCCTTGGCGCAGTGGTTCAGCCGCCCCCTCGCCCCCGGCTCGCAGCCTGACCAGCCCCAGCCTGGGCGCAGGCGGCTGGATGCGCCGCAGTGAGAGCACCTGCTCGGTTAATTACTCCCTGGGGATGCGGGCCGGCAAGGGGCAAATGCGACCTGCCACCTCCCTGCCACACATAGCTAAGGGGGTGGGGATGGGGAGCAGGTCGCTGCCGACATCATCCAGGCCGTGTCTGCTCGTCGCCCTCAGGCCTCTGAACCTGGAGCAGGAGAAGCAGACGTTCTTCCAGTCCGACTACAAGTACGAGCCTCAGTTTGAGTACGCACAGCCGGAGCCCAAGAGCGTGTTGGAGAAGTACAAGGAGGGCTCAGGCCTCTTCCTCGAACAGGTATGGTACCAGACATCTACCTGTGAGTTCAGATGATGGTGATGGTGATGATGATGACTTTTTTTTTTTCACTTGCAGGCGGTTGGAATCATGGAGTGCGTCCTGAGGAAGTTTGGCTCCTATGAGAACTTTGAGGAGGTGACAGGCGGCAGCGTCCTCCCTAAAAGTCAAGTCTGGGCTGCTGTACGCAAATATCTGCAGAAAGAAGGCTGCGTCGGGGAGGTGAGTGACATAAAGCACACACAGAGACAAGTCTCAGACAATGGCAGACATTTTGACTCGTCACAGAAAAGCACAGGCGTTACTAATAACATTCAGAAATGACTCAACCTCTGCACCTCCTCTTGGCTCTAGTTTTAGGTTTTAGAAAGTCTAGCCCCTGGCCAGTGGTCAAGAATCCTGCAGAGAAGGTTGATATTTTAGCTTTGGCAACAACTGTCTACACTGTAGAGCAACAGAAGAAAGACGGACTGATCAAAAAGAGTCTGACAATAAACAAACTAAAACATGTGTCAGTATCATCGAAGTGTTTCAGAGATGGAGAGAAAATGTTGCTAACAGTTTAGCCTTCTGCTAACCTGAGCTAAAGGCTCACGACTGCAGCTTCAAGTTCAGATTTATGTGTCATTTAATTCATGTTCACGTTTATGTAGCTAACGTTAGCGAGAGCCTTGAATCACAGTGCCTTGCTCCCCATCGCCACAGACCACCTCACTGGAAGGAGAATGGCCACAGCAACCTGAATCGAGCCAGCTCAAAACCAAGTCCCTGCTGGATTAGCAAACTTTCTGTTGCTGCTGTTACATAGGTTAGACCCGGTGCTGCTACGAACCACCAGCCCACTGTGACGACCACCGCTGGGGGGTTTGTGCTGGACGTACTCAAGCTGCAAAAGCTGCCGACTAAGGTCCGACTCCTGAGCTGCTGCCGTTCTCCTCCCGGTGACGCAGTCCACAGCAGCAGGGATGAAGTGAGGAAGCGTGGGTTGGCTAGCAGCTAATTCTTGTCTCATTCGTGGTCTGATAAACAGAGAGAGAGAGCGGGGTGAGGAGGGGCTGAGAGAATGAGCTATGTGCAACTCTACAATAAAATAAGATTGAATAAATCAGTGTGTAGGAAACACTGGGTCACTGCCTGTGGTCATCTGGTAGTTCTTTTTTGCCTTCTCCAGATTTTTTGCTGACCCCAGCTTTAAATATGTCTAAAAACAAAATCTGTAAAAATGACATAAAATAATGCCGACGGATTTTAGTCTCACTGCCCAATAAGTTAACAAATGGTTTTAAAGTTGGGAATCAACTCTTCAATTATCCATAGTCCATATGATCGTCAGCTGGCACGAGCCTCCTTCAAACAGCACCTAATGTCAAATAACAGGAAAGCTTTATCTGTTCTCATGATAGAGACGTGTACAAAATGATATCTGTAGTCGTTTCCTGTGTCGACTGTTTGTCAGTTTTATCTGCAGCACAGTGAGCGGTTGGCATGTTGATATAAGATAGGAAGGTGCAGTGGATGAAAACGTTCCCTCAGGGCTCTGTAAGGGCGTCTTTGAGAGGCAGTTGATTGTGTTTACCCTCCACCTGCTCCGCCCTGCAGGCGTCTACTGAAGTCACCTGCGTACATTCCCGCAGTGCAGTTTGTCTGACGTTGCGCCACTTGAACATGCACACGTAACCACTAATGCACAAATACAGCACAGCAAACACATTTTAAAGTAGAGCTGAAACAATGAGACGATTAAGCAGCAAAAAAGCCCAAAAATTGCGTCTCCAGCTTCTCATGGTGACGTTCACACGGTGGTGCAGTGGATAGCACTGTCCCCTCACAGCAAGAGGGTTCCTGGTTCAAACCCCAGGGCGGGGGAGCCCTTCTGTGTGGAGTTTGCATGTTCTCCCCGTGTCAGCGTTGGTTTTAGTAGTGGTGTGTCATATCACCTCGTTTACGATAATACTGATCTAATTTTCAATATCACATGAAAAATGTATATCTTGATACTTCAACCTGCCGACATATTGACGTCACACTGTTACCCATGGCAACAACAAGCATGGCTAAAAGTGAAATTATCACCGACTCCTTGGTGGTTCCAAAAAGAGGAGCAGCTTCAGCAGTGTGGAACAAACTGTGGCGTCCTGAATGTTTTACTTCTCTTAGCGCTCAGAGGGAACTCATTCAGCGGCTCCTCTGGCAGCAGCACAGCGTCTCTCCCTCTCCTCTCTCACCGTGTCTGATACGCCCCACCCTTGGGTGGCCCTATGGGGCGAACATAACTTCAACACTGATCCAAAATCACCACATAAACACAAGCAAACCAGACAACAAAGCTCCCAGGCTGAAGAGCAGCAGGACCAGCAGGCCCCACACCAGAGGCCTCTCTCCTCTGCTGCTGCCACAGGAGCTCCTAAACACCTCCTCCATGCCAGGTGTGCTGCACCTCGTTAACTAATGCGGCACACCTGGGCAGGTCTGCAGTGGAGGGAAAAGGGACAGCAGCACAGAGCACACACACACACACACACACACACACACACACACACAGAGTGTCCTCAAGTGAAAGGAAATCCCCTGTTGATTTATATAGATATATATATAGATCCCAGGGGACATTTGTTTAAATGTGTAATTTGTTGTAGATTTTATTTAGTTTTTACTGAAAATTTGAAGCAAGCTGTAAAACTGGGTCACCTATTTTGTTACAATTCTATCTTCTTAAATCAATAATAAAATTTTTTTTTTTTTAACTAATTTTTCATATAGTCAAGAATATCGTTATCGCAAAAATACCCTGAAATATCCCGATATTATTTTAGGGCCATATCACCAACCCCATACTAAGTGTATAGTGAAAATGAGTAACAAGATCTTGGGAGTTCAGCAGATTACGTTATTTGTCCTGTTTCACAAACAGATAGAAAGGAAGGGTGAAGTCGTCCTGTCCCACAGCTCCCACCTCTTATTCTCCGAGTGTCAGTTTTTGCCTTCTGGCTCTCGGCTCAGATTTCCCCCGTGACAGAGTAACAGACCCTTTCTCACTGTGTGATGTAAGACCACCGTGTTAGAGCCACGTTGGTCATCTTTTGTCTGGGACAGCCCAATATCACAAAGTGTGTACGAGGTTTAAAATGTAAGTGTGATACCTGAACACACCCTGCTGCACACTGTAAATGTTTTATGTGTATTGTATATGGATTAGATCGGAGTGACAGTTAAATAAATTTGTTCTAAACTGTGTGAAGTGACACAACAACAGTCCCATTAAATCCTCTGCAGTGTGTAAACGTTAATATTTCCCAAAGGTGGAAACTGTTTGTTCAGTCTCTGTTGAGTCGGATTGAAATGTACAAAGAATAACTGAGAGAATATCAATCAGGATGTCAGAGGAGGAGGATGATGATGATGATGATGATGATGATGGTGTCTGTGTCTCCAGGTGGTGGTGCGTCTGTCTGACGAGCTGCTGTCTCAGGCGGTGATGGTGGTGGAGAGCTGTCGTCCCACTCTGACCATCAACCTGGCCGGAGCTCGACAGCACTGGCTGGAGGGGATGCTGCGACATGAGATCGGTACGCTGCAGCTCACACACTCATCAACGCATCAGTAACAAAGTTAATCCATCAACCAACACAGCAGTGTTTCCTCAGTGACTGGATCTGCAGAGTTCAGCAGCATTTTATCAGATCGGAGGCCATTTGGGTTTGTCTTTGGTTCTAAATATGTTGATATGATAAAAGAAACAAAAGAGGAAAAGAAAGGAGAGGAAGAAAATGTGCAGGAGGAACCAAACTAACACTGAAATTAAAGACTTATTCAATAAGTTCCTCAATGCATGAGTTGATGACGTGAATCCATCAGCACACCTTAAATTTCACTGTGACAACTTTGACCATCACTTTAGTTTTTATATGACACACACTTTTAGTAATGACTTTAAAAATATAGATGAATTTGGAGCGGATTATGTGAAGGTCATATATTCTAATCCTCACTTCCTGTGGGCTACAGCAACACTAAACCCCTGAGCTTGCCTGAGAAGGACTAAATGCACAAAGCTGCTATTTTTAAATATCCCATGGAGAGAGACTCTCACTGCAGCCTGTTCTATTTTGTTGTGAAAATGTGGGCGTGCAGCCTCGTTCTGTGGACGATAAACCAGGTGCAGACTTCCATCTGTGTCACCGCTGATGAGGAAATACAGCGAGTGCTGGACGGAGCAGTGAGTGACAACAACCCCGCCCACATTTAAGAGGACTGTCTGAACACACCGAGGGTCTAGGTACCTACGTTCACATTTTACAGAATATTTCACCCACCTGTGCGTCCCTGTGTGTGTAACAAGCAGAGTGTAGGCACGTTGTGAACCCGCCTACGTAGTCACATGTTACCATCTGAATATTGTGCTTTAAACAGCAGGAAAACACTTCACCATTCTCTGACTTTAGACCAGATTTTTATCAGTCAGTCTCTTTCTGCTGCCTTACAAATACAAAAATGTTCCTGACCACACCTCATGTTATGACCTACACACCTGTGGGTGCACAGACGGGCACGAGTACATCTGCCACTTCCACAAAGTTGGCACTGGCTGTGAAAACGACACCTGCGTCAGTCTGAAAGTAGGAATGACAGGTGTGTTGCGCTTTGTGCCAGGTGTAAGATATGACCCAGTGTTTTTATAAATAGCTTGTGAAAACAAGAAATGCTGCGTCTGCTGCTGAGCGATGAATCTTCTTCTGTTCACTCTTTTGTTGAACTACAGAAACACTCACAGTCCTCGAGTGATGTCATCGAGTGATGCTTCTTACACCTCTTGATGATCTTAGGATGTCAACAGAAACAAGCTTATAGAAAATGGTAAATGATGATAAAAACATGAAAAAAAAGTTTAAAAGTTACACTACACTGGGTAAAAGGAGCTACATGTGTATATTTAAAATAAATAAAACAATCAATAAATTAAAAATAAAGACACTGATTTGTGGATAAGGTTTTAAGAAGTGATCCACAGACACAGACTGTGAAAAAAATTTGACCGGCCAGTTCACACCGCTGCACTTTTCGCTTGAATCTTTGGTCTGAGCTGGACGTTACACTCTCTAGATGTCACTGTGATGTTCAGCAGTCTGTGAATGAACTGACTATGACATGGATGCAAAACTTCTGTAGTGGAAAACTTCCCGTTTGACATTCTTCCAGTGTTAGTTCCACATAAACATTTGTTTGTCCCTTCACAGGAAATTCAGTGAACAAATTTAATAACATCTATACAAAGTAAGGCCACGTCTGCAGCTCTGAGAGGCTCAATGTAAAGTAAAGGTCTCAGTGGTAACTGTGCACCATCATTGTTGGAACATGACATCACACGATCTTTTCACATACAGACCCCAGGATCATATGATACTGCAGGTTAGCATGGCGCCTTCTGACACACGATCCAGCTGTGCAGTATGGAGACACTGGACATGTCCCCTCAGAGGGTGGGACGTCTCGTTCCCTCAGTGACTCCTTTGTGTGTTCTCACTTCTTAAATGTGACAAAGACACAAGAGAGTGAACGTTATGTACGTTTAGTGTCCCAGTTTCTCCTGCTGCGGGCCCCTGAGGGAGAATCTTTACGCTGCAACATACAATGATCTTATAGACAATGGTGTGTTTCTAACATGTCAGTGGTTGGTGTTTGTCCCTCTCCTGTTTCAGCGTGATAAAATCCCCTCATGCACAAAGACCAGTCCCTCCAGGATCGTTTTTGTTTTGTTTTGTTTTTAGGATCGTTCATGGCAGTTTTTCTGGGGGGGAAAAAAAAAAAATCAATGTAAATATATATAATCAGTCTTATTTTCGATGACAAAAGTGAGATGATGACGAGCTACAAATAGATCTTGATAATAAAACCTAAGACGAAATCTATGTTTCATGTTTGTTGACGAGACGTGACGAAAAACGTTAGTGATGGACTGTCGGACATTGAAAGCCATGAGAAGCCGTTCCAAAATATCTTCAAATGCAGCATGAGCGACAGGCTGGTAAACTCCAGTAAATAGTCTGCACCAGGATGTTTCAGCAGCCAGCAGAAACAGTCAGAGCGGAGCAGCGACAGCCGTTAATGCTGGAGAAATGACAGTTTGTAAGTGTGCAGAGATTATTTGTAGTTGTAGAAAGAAAATGTCTAAATTAAATTTTTATAAAACCTGTCACCTTGATTATAATTTATGATCCATGAATTATCCTCACTGGATGAGTTTAAAGATAAAAAACAAAAAAAAAAAAAAAAGATTTTTTTTCGACTGAAACTACCAAGGGTACAAATGACTAAATGTGACTAAAACATTTTCGTCTCAAGACTCAGACTGAATCTAAAATAGCTGTCAATATTAACACTGACAGCAAGTGATTCACAAACATCAAGTTTGCACTTTATTTTGAAGTACAGTGAATTTCCGACACAGAGCTTTTATTTTGAAGTGCCGTTTCCTGCTGTAGAGTGAGTGACTAACAGACAGCTACATGACAGAGACAGCAAACTAGCTCAACAACATGATCCAATGCAAGTATGATGCTGAATGTATTAAACTGTGGGACCTTGATCTAATGACTGAGGAGAAATCTGGACCAGTTGGGGACCAGTGGACTCGTTGTCTGGTAGCCTCCACCACCAGTTAATGTGTGTGTAAATGAATGAGTGTGATCCGTAGTATAAGGCACTCAGAGTGGTCAGAGACTAGAAAAATGGTATATAAACGCATGTCCATCCATTGACACAATGTTTTTTGTGTTCAACCACAAAGTCGTATGTCGTGCACAACAGTTAACCCCTGCTGTCATGCAGAACATCAGAGAATCGCCTCACATGTTACGTCTTTAGCAGAAAGTTAAGTTGGTAAATGTGAGATTTGGGTCACACGTGTCTGCATCTTCATAACCAGAAGGAAAGAAGTGAGCGATGATTTTTGATCCTCACTCCTCAGAGTAGCTCAGAGTAGGATTAAGAGCTTTGAGACTGTCTTCAAAATGAAGCACCAGAACAACTTGTGGTTCAAGCGAAGCTGGAGGAGCGAGGGAGCGATGAAATGACAATAAAGAGACTTGAGATGCACTTGATGTGTCAGCCCTGTGACCGTCTGGTGACCTGTCCAAGGTGTGCTCTGCCTCTCGCCCAGTGTCAGCTGGGATAGGCTCCAGCCCCCCCGCAGCCCGTGGGCGGCTTGGAGCAGTTACAGATAATGAATGAATAGAATAGACGGGAAAATATAAAGTAAAATGATCATAGAAAATCATTTTGATTGATTGATGGTCTCCTCAGGTACACATTACCTGCGCGGGGTAAACAACAACCTGCAGCCGTGGGCGTCCACTGAGGGCAGGAAGCAGTTCGGCCTCAAACCGGCCAATCCCACGGAGGAGGGCCTGGCCAGCCTGCACAGCGTGTTGCTACGGAAACAGCCCTACCTGTGGCGTGCAGCGCTGCTCTACTACACGGTGTACCACGCCACCAGCATGAGCTTCAGCCGGCTCTTCAGCCACATCGCTCGCTTCGTCCAGGACCCGGACGTCCGCTGGGAGTACTGCCTGAGAGCCAAGAGGGGACAGACGGACACCTCACAGCCCGGTGAGCACACACACACACACACACACACACACACACACACACACACTGATACACAGATGGCTAACAGAGTCACCTGGATGGTTAGTGGATTCTTTCCAGTTTTTAATGAGAGAAATCTCAGAATTTATGATGCGTAAATATTGTATCTGTACTAACTGCCTTGTCTTTGGGTCGGGCTTGATTAGAGTGTCTCTTTAGGAGAATAAGGACTGTAAATTAAACTACAAACAAAAAAAAAACCTGGATGAGGTTATAAATATTTTCATCAGCTGATCTTTTGTCTGTTATAAAAGTAAAATCAGCAGGTTTTAGTGAGTGAAACAAACTCACACTGTCCTCGTCAGTGATGCCTTTTATTTTGACACTTCCTGTGTGTTGTGTGTTTCTGTCTCAGGCTGCTTCAGTAAAGATCAGGTTTACCTGGACGGGATCCTCCGAATCCTGCGACACCGAAGGAACATCGACTTCAAGATGTTGACCTCTTTGGGAAAGGTCAGTGTGGACTCCTTCAGATCATCATGATGATATGAGCCTTTGTTAGGAGGCGTTTCACAGGTGAACATGAAAATACAAAACCATAAAGTGCAGCAAGAACTTCTGGGAATAGTCAAACATAAAGAACAACATCAGGAGAACGAGATAAATCAGTGCAGTATGAAAAATATCAGAAATAACTGAACCATGTGAAAGTCTCATCTGCTGGTTTAGAAGTGTTTTAAACTAAGCACTGACTCAGAGGAACGTGTCTGGTCTGAGCTCAGTGGGATCACACTGCCCTCTGCAGGCAGGAGCCAATTATCAGACACTGGGCCCCTGGACACAGATATGCAAAAGGCCCCATCACCTCTCCAACACAGGAGCAAGACACAGACTTTATAGTTGTTAGGGTCCAAGCAGCTAAGCTGCCAGGACACTATTGTAATCCTAAATCTTCTTCTTCTTCTTCTTCTTCTTCCGAGGAAATCATACTTCCCATGGGTGAAAACTCACCAAACTTTGCATAAAGGTCCAGTCTCATGCCAGATATCCTCAGCTGTAAACTCAAGCCAATAGTCCTGATGGTGGCGCTACAGCAAGCGTCTAAAGTTCAAAACTTTGAAAATTCATAACAAATCAACCATACGTGCTACAACTTCACAACTTTCATCAAACTGTAGCCCCAATACTGAAGAAACTTTTGTACATTTAAACCTATTAAAAATTATGAAGTTCATCACTGTTTTTTCAAAACTGTAAAACTTCTTAAACCTATCTCCTCCCACAGTTTTTGCTCAATTGACACCAAACTTGCTACAGAGCATCTTCAGACTGTCCTACAAAAACTGTGTTTCTCAGATTTTTGATTTATCAAAAATTGAGCCTGCAGTGCATCAAAATGTTTGACTGTAAACGGTACTGTAAACATATACATGCAAATTCTTGCTAAATAAATCTTCAGTGTTCATGAAAAAATGACAGAATTCTAGAGTCATGGTAGATGATGTGTGGCAAATATCAGAATTTTATCTCAAAAACTGAATTTTTGACAGCATTTTGAATTTTGCTCTAATGTGAACAATTGGAGTCAATGTAAAAATGGCAATTTTAAACATCAGTTTTTCACTTATGGAGTAAATCAATCATTGTTACAAACAAATTACCAACATCTCCATGCTGTCTAGATGCAATATGTGTATTTTCAGATTTTTGTTTTGATAACTGATTTTTTTACAATGGTTTGAAATCTGCTTTTCCATGCATGGAAGGCTGCTAAACCTGCACGTCTGGCTTAGTCAGTTTGTGAAGCTACACATTAATTGTCACTGACTAATTAGCTCAGTGAGATAGAAATTGATTCTTAGTCTCAGAGGTTGTGAGTTCAAGTCTCAGCTGATGTAAAAGGCAGATTGTGTTGCTAAATTCCTAAATGTCTTCCAATTCTTCTGCTTGTTGCTCAGAATTGCCTAAAAATGCCCGAACCTGACCCATTGCTGCGCAGCAGCTATAATTTAGCTTATTTTTTGTTGTTGAGCATTTCTTTTTTGTTATGTTGTGTGTCTTTGTAGTCGTTTTGTGTCTTTGAGGTCGTTTAGTGTCATTTTTGCAGACGTTTTGTGCCTCGTTGTTGTGCCCCTTTTTGTAGTTAGTTTTTTGTCTCTTTGTAATCGATTTATGTGTCTTTGAGGTCATTTAGTCTTTTTTTGGCCATTTTGTGTTGCTTTGTGCTTGTTGTGCCCCTTTTTTGTCGTCATTTTCTGTGTCTTAAAGATATTGTATTATCTTCTTTGGTTGTTTCGCCCCTTTTTGTAGTTAGTTTTTTGTCTTTTTGTAGTTGTTTTTTGTGTCTTTCAGCTAGTTTATTGTCTTCTGTGGTTGTTTTGTGTCTCTGTAGTCGTTTAGTTTGGTTTTAAAGTAATACTGTAATACCGTGCAGAGGATTGTGGGTCAGAACAGCCAGAAAAGCATGCTGGCTTGCATACTCCAAGATTGGACCTGATGTAGATGTAGTTTTTGGCATATTGCATTTGAATACTAAATCTTTTTCTGACATACTGTAGAGTATGGTGGGACAGGTACTGGAACACACAGAAAGAGTCATTGTGGATTTTGTCACCATCTCTGAACACTGTGGTCACTGTAGGAAGAGATCTTTACAGAGGAATGATGAGTAACTCTCTCAGGGTGCACACAGACAGCAGAAGAAGAAGTAGTATTCAGATCCTTTACTGAAGTTAAAGTTCTAATGCAACAGCCTGTTTTCAGCTTTGTGACTTTTCCAGCTGATCCAGGAGAGTTTTTACAGAGTTAATTTAGCTTAAGAAGGAGGAGAACTTTCTCAGCACATACTGGAACACTGATAATTGTATGAAGGTAAACGTCTGTGTGTCCAGCAGTTGTTTCTGTCCACGGATGCACTCTTTTCTTCTTCAGGTGTCTTTTGAGGACGTGGAGAGGCTGCGTCACTTTGCCGTCCTCCAACGTACCAGAATCCCGCACTTCATGCGTGACCAGGAGCGTTACCTGCAGCACCTGGATCACATCGTCGCCGTCAACGAGCTGGACGATTCAACGCTGCAAGACCTGCTGCCCTGACCCCCCCCCCCCCCCCCCCCCCTCCCTGCACCACCTGAACCCAAGAAGAAGAAGAAGAGCTGGAGGTACACAGACTGTAACACGTGGTGCGTTCAATGTCACTTAAAAACATCCAGTATTATCGATGCTTCATTTGAGCGATTCTTTTTTGTAAAACTTGAATGAGACGAACAAAAAGGGACGTACACACTAACACCTCTATCTACATCTTCACTTTCGTCCAATGCATGTCCCTCCTCCTCCTCGCCTTTACTCCTACTATGAAGTTACCTCAATACTGCAACTCTACGATGTAACCAACATTATATATGTCGACTCATACATAATCACTGCGCCTGTACACTGCTAACATGTCTCGTACAGATTCAAACATAATCACATGCTTTATTTATGCAATTATTTAAGTTTTTTACTTTGAGAGAACAAACTGAATGTCTCTGGTTTTAGCTTTATACATTTTTATTTGTGTTTTTATGCCTTAGATTGTTTGCATTTTAAAAAAAAGGACACCAAGGACATTTCAAAAACCCGGGGAAGTCCGAACTGAGACCGAGAATCTTTACGATATCAAGTGCCAGAGGACTCAGTCAAGTATTCAAACGTTCCCCGGGGGGATTTTTTAATTATCAGTGTTATTGAGCAGATAATCAGCTGTGTTGTTTCTGTCTTAACAGTGTCCTTGGTGGTCTTTTCATATCAGTATGCTACTGTGATGTGACCCCGTCCCTGAGCTCCCCCCTCTGCAGAAACCAAACCTGCTTTTGCTGCGTTAAAGGGACACAGTTCAGACGCTTTGGGAAATGTGCTTAGTAGCTTTTGTGCAGGAGGTTAGATGACACGCTCAAATCTGTCTGTTCAGTGTGTGGATTTAGAAAGAGACCTGGATACCACATTGGAGGCGGGGCCCTGGATGTAAAATGGCTTCTGCACTCAGGGGCCCATAGAGCAGGCACACAAGATGCTTCGCTGGCCAAGCAGCGAACCTCCAGTTTAGTGCTCCACTAACTTAAATGGGGTTGAGATGATTTAGACTCCTCTAGACTAAAGAAATGTCATCGGATTGAATGGATCAAATCCCGATAGTGCAACGAGTCACTCTGGGGAGGGATGAGACGCTCAAAAAAATGTATCCACTAATTTACAGACGTCTGGTTCACAGTTTAAATCTGTGGGGAAGAGTCTTTTTGGGCCCCAGGGCATCACGTGACAGAACAGGAAGTGGTAGATACACGTTTTGCATCGATATCATTGGCTCCAAAGTCCAGTGTACTTCCCACGGGCCTGTTTGATGTAGACAACTAGGGATAGACCTATATGGATTTTTTTAGGGCCGATGCCGATACCGATTTTTTTCCATCACCCTTAGCCGATGACCAATTATGGACTGCCGATATTTGGGGCCGATACTGCTTTTGCTCCCTCTATTTACATAAAAAAAATGACACAATGATAACAAATATTACAGGTCTCAAGTTTAAAATAAGAAACATTTATTGAACAGTAAAAAATACTAAAACAAGATGGAAAGTTGAGGTAGAACAGGTAGAATATTATTATTGTTATTATTATACATTCAAATAAAAAAAAGAGTTCAGTGCTCTTAAATCTTCCAGTAATGTCTTTATAAAATAAACAAATATTTAAGCTGAAGCATAAATAAAACAACAACTACTGTACACAGTAGGATTCGCTGCATGTGCGCTGCAGGGTCTTCCGGCAACACAGAGCTGCCCGTGGATGCCTGTCTGTAAATCATGCCAGGGAAAAATAAATCTGCGAACCCATGCACGTATCGGCCAATGCCGATACAAGTAAAAAACTCAAATATCGGCCCGATATATCGGCCGGCCGATGTATCAGTCTATCCTTATAGACAACATCTCTGTCTGAAAAAACAACAGTAGATAGTCGGCTAATACATATTGTAGCGTAGAAACTCTTAACTATGCAGCCAGTGGTGAAGCTACATGTGCATGTACGGGACTCTTACACATTAATCCAGGGAAGTACTGGAAGTGAACAAGTCGCCATTACTGCAGTGATGTCTCATTACAATACGAGAAGCATTTAAATGACAGCTGTCTAAAGACATGCATCATTTTCTGCTTTCTATGTAAAGTAACTTTTGACAAGGATGTCGAGGAGTTTGGGAAGAACCTGTGCAGCTCGCTGTCTGGACAAACTTCAACTGTGAAAAAACTGATAGCAGGGTTGTAGGGCTGTACCCGAATTATATCAGGTTGAATCAGATTTGGCTGTTTAATACGAATACAGTAAACAAGCTAACTGCGCTAACGACGGCGCAGAAATGTGCAACCACATTTTTTGCTGACACTGCAAAGCTGTAAATTCACCACCTCCAAGCAGATGAGAAGATAATCTTATCTAGTTTCTCCTCTTCTGTGCTGCTGCCTGCGTATCCGCAGCTGTCTGTACCAAAGAGTAGCATCAAAGTCAAGAGTGTTCACTCCGCAGCAAAGTCTGGGGACCAAAACATCCCCATAAGTACGCTAAACAGCACACTGAGTCGCAAAACCAACACACACAAAAAAAACCCGGACTGCTCAACTTAAAGCAAGCTCAGTCGACTGAGGGGTCTCGGATGATTCAAACCTCCAACTTTCAGGGTTCACACACATTTTAACAAAGTCATTTTCAAAAATTTTCCATATTTTGCCCCATTTCCATGACTTGTAGTTTAAACTGTGTCGGTCTGCGTAGGGAAACAGTCGTTTATTATTACACATGCACTTCCAGGGAGAAGTGCATGTGTAGATAAGCAAACTGCTCACACATGCTAACTTTACTCGGCCGTGACATAGTAATTGTGTGTGTGTGGGGGGGGGGGGGGGGGCATAACTGTCAAAGAGTTTTCACATTTTGGACAGAGCCAGGCTGTTTTCACGTTTCCAATCTTTGTCGTAGCTTCATATGAAAGTCGTGTGGATCTTTTCCTCCGACTCTCTGCCAGAAAGTGAATGAGCTCATTTCCCAAATCGTACAGCTGTTCCTTTAACATGTAGACAAAGTGCCAAAGTGGCGTTTTGAATTCACAGTTGGGCTCTTTGAGGAGCAGCCAGTCGTCGTGGTTCCTCACCCCGACACGAGTCACTGGCTGCGGGGGGAAGCGGGGGTGTTGTGGGCGTGCCTTCGATGGGTGTAGAGCTCATCTGCTGTAGCTAGCCGTGTGTTTGTAGGCTGCTTTTTACTGTGTTTGACACTTAAACTTCAGATGTCAGCGGGGGCATTCATTTTGGTCCAAGCCGTCTGTGAGCAGAGCGAACGGCTGAACGTCACCACTAGTTCCAGTTTTTAACTTACAACAAAAACCACTTGACCAAAATGTGAATTCAGTGATGCATTTTAAATACTTGAGATTTGAAGATTAATGTGTAATTGAAGTGAACTCTGCTGTGTTTACAGTCTCAGCCATTTGGTGAGCAGATAAAGGTTTTAAATTTGAGCAGGTGGTCGTCTGCTGACCTCAAACCTTCGGCCTAGATTCACCTAAACGAATGCACCTATTTGTAACGCACGAATGTTGCACAAGTGTTTTATGTTCTGGAAAACACCTTGAAGTTCCAGTTTATTTATTAAAAAGTACACACACTTACTGAGCTCTGTGGTCTGTTTCATGAAGCACCAGAACAAACACTGCAGACAAACCCCAAGGAATACTTCACCCGAATATAATATACATATGTGTCAAGTTACTCGTCGCGTCTTACTGTGAATTGGTGAAGAAAACTTTGTTTTTCTCTCATGTCTTCACAGTGAACGGAGAATCCAAAAGGTGTTAAACTCTCACACAACTCGTGCAGTATAATCCAGGTCTCATTTATCCAGTCGTATGATCAGCACTTCACAAACACATGTATTTACACTAAAACATTATGATTTAAAACACTTGAGCGTGCCCAAGCACATGCTTTCATTTGACAGCTCAAACCTTTGTTTTCTAAATCATGTTTTTGTGAAAATGGCTGTGCACGCAGGGCGTTTACTTTAATTCATGAAGACTGTTCACCTGTTTTGGATTCTCTGTTGTCTGTGGAGAAACGAGAGAAAAACAAAGATTTCTTTAGGAATTCAATGTAATGCGTGGTAAATAATCGATATACAAATGGTCATTTTTGTTTTTCTTTAACTCACCTGGAGAATGTTTGTGTCCATAAGATGGGAAAAACCTTAGGAGCTCTAAAATACTCTGAAAGGAACCATTACGCAGAATGCGCACTTTTACTTTGGGCACTCTCACCAAAGACAAAGTGCGCAGGGTAAGTACAGTGTCTAAAGTAAGTGTACTTGGTTACTTTCCACCGCTGCTGTCTGGACCGTAGGGCGGCTGGTAGTTAAAAGAAAAAGGTAGAATTCAAGCTCCTGAGTCAATAAAAGTTTGACACAAGCGTCTTTAAATAAAAATGGTTTATTCTCTTTCAATATAGCTTTTGTTCTATCCGTAGCAGAAAAGAGCCTCCATGCCACTCAGTGCTAAAACTGGATTTCAGGTCACCACAGCATCGTAATGACGGACAAACGTCTTTACAGCACAACACCGGCTTGATACTGATCCAACAACAGTCACTTTGCTCATTTTAAAAACAGGTTGAGGGGGAGGACGGGAGGGCGGAGGAGGAGGAGGAGGAGGAGGAGGAGGAGGAGGAGGAGAGGGGGGGGGGGGGTCAGATCTGATTTATCTGTGACTCGGTCCAAGCAGCGCAGACCCCCCACCCCCCCCACCCCCCCCCACCCCCGGGCTTTGTTGGGAAAAGTTTAATCCGTGCGTGTTTGTGTATGCTGCAAAATTGACATCTTGCTCCAGTATGGCTGTTGATGTGGAGGCAGAAGTTTCTGCCACGAAAAGGTCACAAGTTGAGGTAACAAAGATTCTTCCTGATTGGAAAAAGAGGGGGAAAAAAACAAACCAATCAGAGGTCAAACACTGATCATCTGATGGATCTGATGATTTTAGAAATGTAAGCAGTGTGTTGCATCACAGACAGGTGCTTCTGTTCTCCAGGCCTCGTCCACACGTACACGAGTGTTTCTGAAAACAGGGTTATTCCTTCTTCCTTCTTAAAACTGCAGCTAACATTACGTCATGTTTTATCCCATAACGGCCTTGTGTACGTACAACATGAGCTCTGTCTGTTGAAAATATTTCCACACTGCTGATTCCTCATAGTCTTTCTCTCGGCTGCTCGCCGTCTGTCTGTCTGCTGCTGTTTGACGGTGACAGACTTTCAAAATAAAAGCATATCGTAAAGATGACGATATAGATTGATGTTTTTGTATCCATGATATTGGATCATTTAATCAATATATTTATCAGATTGATGGAACGTTACACCCCAAGTGGACAAAGACCAAAACTCATATACATAAATATACATTTTTAGATATTCAGATGTAGGTGTGGACGAGGCCTTTTAACCTCCATGAAGGAGGATTCATTCAGTGACTATTGCATCAGACTGCATTAGTTTTAGCTACTTAAAGGGATAGTGCACCCCAAAATGAAAATTCAGCCATTATCTACTCACCCATATGCCGACGGAGGCCCTGGTGAAGTTTTAGAGTCCTCACATCACTTGTGGAGATCGGCAGGTGGAGCGGCTAGCATACCTAATGGCTGACGGCGCCCCAGACTAACGTCCAAGAACACAAAACTGAATCCACAGAGTATCTCCAACATGCTCATCCATAGTGGTCCAAGTGTGCTGCAGCCCCGACATAAAAAGTTGTTTGGAAAAACGTCATATGAACTCTGTTTTTAGCCTCACTGTAGCCTGTAGCTCTGACTGCCTCTCTGTGCTCCGCGTTCACGTGTTCGCGCTCAGGGTGATCGGTGATGCACGGTCTCTGAAGAGCAGCAGTCTCGTCAGTACTGATGTCCAGATTCTCAAGTGCAGGCATCGCCAATTCCCAGTCTGAGCAGCAAAGACTTTCCTCACCCGTTGGCATTGCTTTGCATTTGAAACAACTACACCACCAGGTTTCCAGTGCTCGACTCCGGTATTCTGCGGCTGGCTGAGGGTCAGGCTCATGAGCTGCGGCGGCTGCTTCGTCCAGTAGCCTGAGTTCCGTGCGTATACTTGGGCTCAAACAAATACGGCTCAACAAAGAAATGCTGTTCCTCCTCAGTTTCAGAGTCTTCAGACATGTTGGGCTGTCCTTTGCTAAAAGACCGTAGTGCAAATTATCTTTTAGCTCTGTGGTTACGTTGTCTCCCCCTGCGGTGCACGTGTCATGTGATGTAAACAAGGGTGAGCAAAGCTCATGCTTTCGGTGGTCTCGCACAGGCGCACACACGTGAGCGCGAAGCACAGAAAAGCAGTCAGAGCTACAGGCTACAGTGAGGCTAAAAACAGAGTTCAAATGATGTTTTTCAAAACAACTTTTTACGTC